ATGTCATCAAATCAAGTAAGTAAATTAGTGAAGCTTAACAGACATAAAACAACTATAAATATGAATATTTTTAAACAGAATCAAGACCTTACCATAGACTACTCTTGGGATGAAGACCCTCCAATGTTGAGCTATAATCCACAAACTTATGTCTCAGCAAACAAAATTATCCGGTGCCCCCCCGCCGAAATTGAACAAAAAAGCCAGAAGAAAGTTTAGAAAAGAAGAAACAGAAAGATTTGCAAAATTGTAGTTTATCCGTCGAAATTGAGCAAAAAAGCCAGAAGAAAGTTTAGAAAAGAAGAAACAGAAAGATTTGCAAAATTGTAGTTTATAAGTATAATTTTTTAATAAAATAATAGTAACTTAATTTATTGTTTCATTGGGTTTTTATAAAAAATCAAAACATATTTTTCGAAGATCACAAAGCACAATTCTTGAGTGGATTTTAAAAAATACTGGTTAATCAGGGATTTTAATGAAGTTCGTTGTTTTTGTAACTCATAACTTTTCTCACCAAAAGTTCAAACAATGCGGTGTCATCAGATCAACTAGTCGAGCAAAAAACAAACAAACAACAAAACCCTACCATCTTGTTGAGGACTTTATGGTAGATAGCAATAACCCAGAAGCAGATGTTGTATCCAACCCATAATCCGTTGACCCCCGCCCAAAAAGAGCAAAAAAAAATTAGGCATCAAACCATATTTTTCGAAGATGTATCAATAAATTGGCAAGGTTTTTCACCACTTGCTTCCACTCAAAAATATTGAGAACCGCAAAACTAAAATTTTGAACACGAATACAAATGAAGGAATTGTATTCTCTAGTTTTCAGGAAATTGAAGGGATATGGTACCTCTTCAGAGTAGAAGTTTTTTAATGTAGTAGAGGTGGGTATCGCTTTGATAGCTGAAGGCTTTTGAGCGTGGGAACTTTTTTGATACCGTGGGAAAATTGGCGATCTGAAATTTTGGGAATTTGACCCGGGTCAACCGTGGGAACTTTTTCGATAGCGTGGGAACCTTTTCAATAGCGTGGGAACTTTTTCGATAGCGTGGGAACTTTTTTGATAGCGTGGGAACTTTTTCGATAGCATGGGAACCTTTTCGATATCGTGGGAAAATCGGCGCCTTTGATCTGAAATTAGAATTTGACCCGGGCGAACCCCAAAATTTGTGAATCTGGTGAACCATTTACGTAGAAGAGGTCTGGGGGCACTTGAATCAAAAAAGTGCTCAGGAGCTTCACGGAAGGGGGTTTACAGTGGTGGGTAGTGGTATGATGGCTGTGCTGGAGGGGCAGTAAAATAATTTCTTTGGTGGGGATCATAGTGGGGGGATTTTAGGGTAGGAGCTTCAGGGAAGGGGGTTTACAGTGGTGGGTAGTGGTATGATGGCTGTGCTGGAGGGGGGTTTTACGTGGTAGAGGTGGGTATGTGGTCTGATAGCTGTGAAAGCACTCTACTGCCAGTTTATGAATAGAATAATAATACTTATTTTTTCGTTTTTTAGTTTTAATAATTTAATTTAAAATACTGGTTTTGTGAAACAGAAATAAAATACCTACATCCCTTTACGTAAAATCTGTGTAAAAGTCAAAATTACATTATTTTGGCAATACAATGTAAAATTGTCAATGCTTCAAATTTTTTATGTAGAAAAGGCTTGTGTTGCCAACATAGTTATTAAATTTTTCACTTGGGGAATTATCTTTTAAAAAAAACAGACTTTACATCTTTTAAAACTTCAGGAAAAAATCACAAAATTTAACAATTGAGTACCTACGAAATTACCATGAAATCTGGTACATCGGCGATCACAATATGACCCAACAGGACTCCATCTTGCTAAAAGAAGGTAGAGGTACTATAGAATTTTTAATACCTATTTAGAAGTACCAATCGTTCTAGTGACAAAACGTATGTCGCTTCTTGAACGAAATAAAATTAGGTTAGGAATTTCCTATTAGGCAATTTAAACCATGTGACTTTCAAGATGGCGTGGCGGCCACACATGGGGCAAAAAACACAAAAAAATATCTAATTTCTGCCCGATTTAATAATTTAGGTACCTATAGTCAACAAATATTTTATTAAATAATCAAAATCAAAGTTGCAAGCAAAGCTTTAAGCAAAATAATTTAAAATACGCATAAAAACATATTCAAAACAAACTTGCTTGGCCTCCACGCCATATTGAATTTTCCATTTTGACACAGGGATTGGATTGCCTAATTTGTACATGAAATTGACGTATTAGTAATCGACGTTCGTTTTTGTTGGTAATTTTTTTGTTTCATCTGACTCGTGATTGATAAATAAAAATGGAAGATGGGGTTATTCTAAATGGGTATTAAAAATACTATAGATAATGTTTGTTGTAGCTGTCTATTCAAGTACCTACTCTATCAAATAGTTAGATAGTAAATGGCTATATAAATTGCAATAAAAGCATAAAAACTAAAGCCTCAATTTCCTACATAAGTATGTACTTACAATTTTTCCTTATTTTCACTAAATTATTCTAATGAAATGAATTATCTTCTGATTATCTATAGCACGCACATAATTTAGACAAACCGTTCTCTAATTTTCTCCTAAACCTCAACTGGAATACTTTCCGTCATTTCTCCACTTTCTTCGCTACTTTCTCAAACGATTCCCGAAGCAAAAATTCAACTATGTAGGTACTATCTAATGACCACTATGTATCAAACCTATAGTCTATTTTTTTGAAAGCTGGTATAATCAAACTATCACCTCATCGTTTATTGCAGGTAGTTCATTCACTCTTCAAAGGATTTAGGGGATTAAATTTGGTTGAGTATGATTGATTGTACCAGCTTTCGAAAAAATAGACTATAGTAGGTACTCATAACCGCGAATTGCGGAATTCCTGAACTCGCTTACTGCCAAATTTTGTACAATACTTATACACAAAATCGTGTACTTAGCCAGAGTAAATACTATCAAAACAATGAACATTTTATCTAAATTCATTTAATTAGAAACCAAAATATCTAACTAATCATTTTCTAGACAGAACAAAACAGTTAATTCGATTATCCAAACTCTTCATTAAAATTCATTTCAATTTCCAGTCATTCGAATTTATATTTCTCCATCTATACTAAACACAAAAATCGATTCACTCAAGATAATAATAGTTATGCAATAAAGTTTCATAGTCAATTCACTTCATAATCATTTCAACATTGATAAAGTCAAAATAAAACTTGTCACTAGAGTACTTACATTTAAATTATCGCCCTTAAAAGTCACTGAATTATTTTAATTATTATTTACTCAAAATAGCTAGGGCACGCACATAAAAACAAAAAGGTTAACTTCTTTCTTAATTCGAGTTATTTACTGTAATTTTTACATTTCCCGTGGCCCGATTTTTTTATACTTGAGATAATTCGCTACTTCAGAATACTACTAATTATTGAGTCTAATTCTCGATAATTAATTGATGATTCCGCTCTACTTGAACGGTCGCCCCTTTTATACTATTATTTACCCACCAAAATCGACAATATGAGCGGTCGTTTGACCATCTGTAATTCAATTCTATTGGTCGACCTAGATATTGTTCCAAAAATTTTAACTTGCTCATCGGATGATGACGAAATCTGAGTCGAATGTCAATGAAATGGAAAAGAATGTAGAGGACAGTTAATTCAAGGAAAAGCCGACTCGTGACGGCAATAAATCATACGAGCTTTTGAAATTTCTTTCATTTTGGGACCTAATTTAAGTAGGTACCTACCTAACCTTGTATTTAATCTTTTCCGGGTTTTGATTATTATTTGTCTCATCATTTCCATTTTTTTTTGATTTTATGATTGCATTTAATTTTTACTGTTAAGACATTGTAAATTGTGGAACCACATCCAAACATTGACGCCAAATCTCTCCTGAAATGCTGTTTCCCTATGAATGTGACAGTTTCCGTGAGTTCAACAGATATTGCTATTAAAAACCACTAATTGAGGGCAGCCTTTTTCAAAAAAGGGGTTGGGGTTGTTTTGGAATTTTTTAAACAATTATTTTCAGGATATGTCAGCAGATGATCAGATGATCTTGCTTTGATGGTGAAAAGAAAATTTCAGTATTTCCAGCAAAATGGTTGCGTATGTAACTATCTAACCTATCAAAGATTTCTTCCTATTCCATTGAATTTTTGCATATTATGTTGGTTACCTATATTAAAAATCAAGTACAAGTAAAAGAATAGTCAAACATGAAATTCTAGTAGCTGCTAGGGAACAAAGTTTCTCCCAGTGAATACTACAAAACATCAAAATAGAATAATAAAAAAATCCAAGATTATTCTCAAGAAACAATGAGGAACATTTACAATAGTTTTTTTTCTAATATTTTTTTCCACTAAATTAAAATTAAAAATGTTCCTACTACAGCAAGACAGCCGTATTTTAGCTGTGCGCAAAATAAATCAGAGGTCTTTAATAAGGAAGGTTGATGAATAAGGCTATTTTCGGCGTTCGGCCCCCCAACAGAGCATTTTCTCCGAAATTTTCCTTAAAATCTTATATAGAATTATAGAAAGATGTACGAATCAAAATATGTTAGGGAATTTTAAGTGATTTCTTGAAAACATCTGTTGTAAGATTTTTGGTAGTATTTGGTAATCTAAATAAATAAAAGAGTTGCACTTGAGGTTAAACATAATCTTTTTACTTCTAGCTTCTATGGATATCTTCGTCTTATTGAAAGTTTCGGTAATTTTGTGCACATAAATAGTTTCACATTTAGTGATTAGTCTTTTGGATTTTAAATCTATTACGCATTGATAATATTCCAGAAAATCCCACCCTGGGATTCCATCAAAATCAATAAGGTTGTATAAATGTGAACTTTGTGAGAACCTTTAAGGGCAAATGGTCATTCACGGATCTGGAGTTTTTGATAGTCATACATTCAGACATTTTCAGTTGTTTTCAACTGTAAACTATAATCTTATTTTTATTTTGCAGATCAAAATCTGGCTTTTACAGCCTTCGACATGTCAGGTCATGGACGATACAGGGACTTATGGGAACACTATTACAAAGACTGTCACGGTATAATTTTCGTGATCGACAGTAGCGATCGTTTGCGTTTGGTCGTGGTAAAAGAAGAACTCGACCTTTTGTTGCAACATCCAGACGTTTGCCAAAAAAAGATTCCTATACTGTTTTTTGCCAATAAAATGGATTTCAAAGAGTCGCTGAGTAGCGTAAAAATTGCCGCAGCATTAGGTAATAATGATAGGCTTATAAAATTAAATTTAACAAAATTGGTTTTTAGGTTTGGACAAAATCATGGACAAACCATGGCACATAGCCGCAAGTAACGCTTTAACGGGCGAAGGACTTCAGGAAGGAGTCGAATGGTTGACACAACAAATACGAGAAATTTTGAGTGTGAAAGGTTAATGAATAATAATTTTGTTAACTATGTTCAATAATTTATGTAATGAAACAATTTTTTTTTAATAAATTTACGTAATATACCTACTATTTTGTGTGACATGTAATTTTTTATTGGTAATTTTCGCTGAAATTGAAGAAAAAATCAATGAGTCAGAAGTGTACCATCGTCACCAAAAGTATCTGGGACACAAATAATGCATAATAATCTCCTGGACTAATTCTACTGTCATTCATTTCAATGCATTTGATTTATAGTTTGACAAATATTTGACAATAAAATTCATATAATAGGACAAGAGCTATGTGAAGCTGTCCCAGTTACTTTTGGTGACGATGGTACCTACCTACGGTTTTTTATTCTGATATCGAAATTTCTCTATATTCCATGTCATATGTAGCAATTACGGCAAATAACGACACAATTATTTGAAACTTCAAATGCGGGTTTACAATTTCTGTTTCTGACAAATTTACTCGAAATTGTAAACGTTCCAGCAGATGCAGACCGGTTAAAAGTAATTTATGTCGGATTCAGGCTGCACGGCTGCAGGTTGCGATAAATTATTTATGTGTAATACAAAGAAGAAGTAATTTTTAGCACAGGTTCTATGATTTTGTAGAATCTGGATGTTAGCTTTTCTAATTGGGTCATTAATCAAACATAAACAAAATGTTCTACGAGAGCAATTTCGAAAACAACCAATTTGTTCTTGCAGAAATCGAATTATCTACGCTTCCTTAGAAGGCAAAACTTTTCGGACCGACAACGAACACAAAATAGCAAGTCAGGAAAACTTTTATGCTCAACAATCTGGAAATTTCCCTTTGGGAAAAAGGTGAGGTGTTTCTATTTATATTAGGGACAGCGCTAAATCTGGAAGCTAAAGGCATCGAGGTACATTTTTTAAAGAAGGTTCTTTGATGGATGGATTGAGAATTGATGCGTAGAGAGTTTCACTGTTCGGTGCCATTCCAAATAACTCTAACTGGCTACTTGAGAGTTGAGACTGATTTTTTCATGTTTAAAAAAAGATTTTTCAGTCACTTCATTACGTTATGAAAAGTGAAGTTCAAACTATAATAACTGGAGCTCATTCTTCTTTGCACTCTGTCTACTGTATATTCCCTTTTGTTACGCTGGTTTTACACCCATCCTGGAATTTAGCCATTCTAAAATTTCTCTAAATAAATCTTGTTAAGTTAAATAAAATATATGTCTCCTCGTAAACCTGTCCTAAAATAAACTACGTCACGTATAGGACTACTGCAGTCCTAATTGATTACGCCAAGGAAACTTTTGCAACGCTTTTTCCTCCTCAGCCCATAGTAAGTAGAAAATTGTTACGAACTGTGGAAAGTTTTTAATGGAATTATGCACGAAAATGTAAGGCAATTATCAATTACGTTTATTGCATGCTATAAATTAAAAGTTGGAAAATCATTTTGCATAATATATCCTACGCCAATTTGCTTGTTTGGAATTTGCTTGGAAATTTTTAGCCCGTAAAACATGAACATGTTCTATTATTTACATAATACCTTAACTTTTTCTATGGAGCAAAGTTAAAAAGCGGGCCACATCTGCAATGTGCCTTGTCCCAGATGGCTTGGCGCAAAATTAAACACGTTTTTCCGAGAGGACGTTCCATTAAATTTAAAAAGTTAGTCTATGAACAAAAACTTCTTTTGCTCAGAAAGAATTATTTAAGTTCTTTTTGAGTTTCTTTTTAAAAAATTTATCTTTTCGATTTGTTAGAGAAACATTTTTAAAGACACTTTTGGGTTGTGCAGAATTTTGAGCTTTTTGGCATTTTTAGATTTTGATAATTCCATAACACCGTATACCTTTTTAACCCTTTAGCATCATTATTAAATTTGGAATTTTACAAAAAAAAAAGAAGCATTATAGAACTAGGTAGGTAATTTTTCCGAGTTAAGATTTGGGTGAATCTCAGTTTGATTGGTGTTCATTTAGAGAACATAATTCGTCTTTAATGAATTTAGTGGAAAATTCTCAGATAAATTTGTTTGAAATTACAGAAAAATTAACATCGACATTGAAACGTAGTTTCATCTAACCTAATTGAATCAGTAGGCAAGAATCGATTTCAGTCCACCAAGCCCCTTAATTTGAACTAAAAAAAAAAGGATGAATATTCTCTATGCATTTAAGCAGAAAAGATACACAAAACTTTCAACCGAAAAACCGCTATAGTTTGAGCGAACACAGCATCAGCAAACTTGATAGGTATTCAGTAAACACGCAATCAATAGACTGGCTGGCCTGTGGGGTTTCGCTGATGAAAGACCTTTCCTTTGGATAGATTAAAAAAGTTTTCATTTTATTTTTCACGTTTTTTTTTTAGATGTAGGTGTGGGCGAGAACCCCTACTTTGCTTGAAGCCCAGTTGGAGTTACTCCATTTAAAAAGTTTTAACGCTAAAAACAATCATAGATAGAACTCTATTTGTTCCAGTTTTAATCCGAAAAGTAAACACACTGAACATTTTCTAAGGCTTACAATGGAGATTCCAAAGTTTACTTAAAGGAGTTATTAAGTCATCTCTCGAACTCGAAAGAGTAAAGTCGGAATATAAAGTGAAGCTTTAAGTTCCAGATTTACTATGTTAGGATGCAGTAATGGAAGTGAATGTGAACAAGCGCTTAATCATTTTAGCAATTGGTTTCTATGTTGTTGGGTATTTGGCAATATTATTATATTGTTGGATAACAGGATAATTTTACATCTACTATATTTAAGTGAAATACAGTTTTATTAGAAAAAAAAGTAGACTTCTATCTATCCACGTCATATAAAAACTCTCTAATCTCTTCAAAATCAAATTAAAAATGAAAGAAAAATCAAACCAATAACTATTTTATTATAAAATGAAGAAGAAATATTGTGTATGTCCTATCTACCTAATAGTTATTATTTTACAAGACTTTGATGTCGGCAAAGCTCAATTTACAGTTGACTCTAGTTTGTGCTTGTTTATCGGTAATTTCAGCATTATTTGTTAACAATTTCCAAATCGCCGGAAAAAAAATCCATTGTCTATTGTAATAGGAAACTTATCTAAAATTCGGCACACTTATCCGGCTTTTTCCGGGCGTCGGGCTGCATCCACTCGAAAACTTATTCTTTATTTCCTCACTCGGAGATAAAAGGGGAAGGAAGTGGAATCATCAAGTGGCTCTGACAGGGGGGACGCCGAGGGCGTCGATTTTCTTTTGTTTGCGGCGCTAAAAATTTCCAGACGTGAAAGGGATCCAGAGATATTCCGGGTCCCAGACGTTCGGCTGGAGGATTTTTTTTGTCTGCTTTTAGATGCCGTCACAAGAGCTTCCGATTAATTTACGATAAGGAAGTAGGTTTTTGTTGTAACCTCAAAAGAGATATTTGAGTTGAATTTTGGTAAAACTTAGAATAAACTTCTTTACGTTGTTTTTTTTTTGACAATGAATTTCGGAAAAATATACAAAAATAATGTGAGAAATTCTCACAGAATTTAGGAGCGATTTATTGAGACCTCACACGAAATACTCCTGCATTTATTGATGCAAAATTTATTGGAAATAGGAAAACATTAATTTAAAAAAATAATAATTATAATATTCATATTTATTCACTCCCAGAAAGTCGTACTAATTATATCCTTCGTTCAGTAAATCTTGTTTTAAAAAACTAATAAGTTACAACAAAAAATACTAGACTCTAATTGCTGCGGCGAAAAGCCGATAAAAAAAGAATCTTGATTCTAATTACTGTAGTCTAAGGTAAAAATAATAGAATGAGGATAGAAAGCTCTGCGCGCCGTATTTATAATAAAATAGTGCTGACGGTGCAGTCATGTGGGCGAAACCTTGATATGATGGTACTTTTCCAGTGCAGTACCGCTTACTCAGCAGCTTTATAATATTGTGAGCTTTTACAGAGGCGTACTCTTATATTTAACATTGAAAAGGGGAATTATGTATATAATAATAACATAGGGATTTATAATATAACTCCTCCCTCTTTAAGTGGTAACAAATTGGGATTTACTAACAATGTTGGGCAATTCAATCTGCACCTCAGTTTTAGTTTTACTACATTTTCCTCTAAAATATAGAATATGAATAATTGTTATAAAAATAGAACTTAATACTATGATTATAATATAGGTTGATACATTATTGGTTTTAAAATTTAACACTTTTAATGGGTCAGTCTTTAATTTGTTCGCTTCTTTAATCTCTGATTGAAGACATTCATGGTCGACTGCTTTAAGTCTTACAGTTGTGGTATTCTCTAGAAGTTTCAGGAATGTCGATGATGGGTAGTTCTAGTTCTAGGTCGAAGTTCTCATACGTGTCTTCAAGAAATGTTCGATTGTTAATTGTTTTTGAACAGTAACCTTTGGAAATTATTATTGGATTGGAAATGATTTCCATGTATTTCATCTGGTTACATTGCAGCTTTGCTATCATGTCGTTTTGGAATAACCAATACTTGATTATTGGGTATTTCTTCAACTGTCGATTCTTCATATTGAATTTTCGTGAATGGGCATAATTGTTGTTCACTAGATACAATATCGTGAACACAGGGCTCATATTGTTTCAATAGTTCCATTTTGTACAAATAAATGTCTTCAATATTTGGACATTTTTGTAAAGCATTATAATACGTGTCCGATGTGGTAAGTAATAGGAAAAGATACTTAACACTAATTGTATAATTTTGGATGGGTATAGGAAATAGTTTATACACTATAAAATGTTTAGGATTAATTATTGGTGTGCACATAGTAAAAATAATTAGTTCCTTTTGAACTAAATATTACATGAGAGGACATTGTCTCAGAGTATTTAGTTACATTGTCAAACCGTATTTGTTGACTGGCGGGTATATTTTTCATGATCAAGTTCAATTCATTATGCTGCAGTATTGTACTTAAACTTATTGCGTTTTGAATGTGGTTAATTAATTCGCGTAGTTTACTACTATGCATATTAGTGTTTTTTAAAACTAATGTACCATACAGCCATTTTTGTGCTGTACCTATGAAATTGAATACGAAATTGAATACTCCACGTTTATTTCGTTGTTCGTGTGAGAATTGTTCTACAAATTTCTTTAATATATTGATACGTGATTGACTAGTTTCAATATTTACTTGTAATAAAATAACAATTTCGTCTTTATTAGACCGTTTGGTTAAATTTAAAGTATTGTTTAAATTCTTTAAAGTTATTTCGAGAGTTTTAATAATTTTTCCAATAAGGGTAGTATTTATGTGATAACATGCAGTGTTATGTTGTGTTGTGATGTGAATGGTTCCTATAGAAATCGGTAAAATAGGATTTCTTGATGGAGTTAACGTGTTGGCGTTACTGGAAATTCCTATGAGGAGGATGATGAAAGCTGTCAGGAACATTTTGGTTTTTCTGAAACAAAATGTTGTCGCTTTTTGTTTGCTAAATCTGACTTGTGTTTTAGTACCATATCGAGTACTAGTTTTATTACTGTCAAATTGCTTAACCCTACGTTAGGCGCGCGGTATTTTGTGACGAGTTGAGTCGCGCGGTCTTCATGTAGACCCTTTTTTTTGTCATTATATGATACTTTATGACAAAAATCATTAAAAAATGGTAAAATATGTATTTATTCATATCTACATTTTGGTGTAAAATGTATTTTACATCAATATTTTTTTTATAATTTTTTGCTAATGAAAAACAACCAAAAATATGATTTTTTATACATTTATCAGCTTGTGGTTAGTTTGAAACGAAAAAAAAAGTCTTACTGGTTTAGAATTTAACAAAATGTGGTAAAAAAGAAGTCAATAAATAAATGTGCAAAAAATACAATTTTTTAAATTTTTTTGAACAGGTAGTGCACGTATCTGCTATATGTTTTCACCCGACAGAAAAAGTAACGCAAATAGGCGCGCGGTCTACAATCGTAGACCCATCGTGTTTAGACGTGCCTAAAAATTAACAACTTCTTTCGCTGCAGTGCGCTACTCTAGTTCGCGCATGCGCAACCAACACCGTTTTGAATCTATGGTTGTTGAAATATGTGTGGTCTACAATCGTAGACCGTGCGCCTAAGTAGGATCTTTTAATTCAGGTTCTTTTTCACGTTGTTTATTGATTTTCTCTAATTTCTGATTGTTTTGAAATTAATTCGTCACGAATTACATTATTTAGAGTTTCTAACGATTCGTCAAAATTATTGATATAATCTGTGGTTATGAATTTTCAATAGGTATTGAATTAATTCAAATCGCCTTGATTTATTTGGAAATGTGTTTAACCTGTAACAATATGTATGATGTTATTATAGTTCAAGATTGCAATTACCATTAGGTTATTTGTGCTTTTATTTGGGCCTTGTAATTTCAAGCTTGTTAAACTTTTTCTCAAGGTAGAATGTAATCTCTCTAGAGGACTATTCGAATTAGGATTTCGAGGTGTCGTATAATGGAATTCGATTTTATGTAAAGTACATAAATCTGTTACAATTGCATTTCTGAATTCAGTTCTGTTAGCAGAGGTAATTTTTTATGGAATTCCATGGTCACTGAAATATCCTATCAATTGTGATGCAATCTCAACTGAAGTGTTGCTAATAATTGGGATAGCTTGTGCAAAATTCGAAAAGCTGTCAATAATTGTTAGGAATTTTTGATACGAAACTATGTATGTATCAATATAAAGGTGTTCAAAGGGTTTTGAACCGATTGGAGTTGGTTTGAATATTATTTTGTAGGGTTACCTTTCATATTTTGTCTTATTACATATTTCACATGTTTTGATATTATGCTTGTACGTCGTTTTCTAAATTAGGCCAACAATATCGTTTCTTTAAAGATGAAACATTTTCTGTAACTCCGTGATGAGATGTTTTAGTCTCATGGTATAGTTTGATTTTTTCTTTCTGTTGTTCATCAGTTTCTGTTATGTCTTCGACAAAAGAATTGGAAATACATAACTTAAACGAATTCTAATTGAATGATGTACTTAGAACTCTTAGTATAATAGGTTCTAACGTTTTGTTATGAAATGCATACAATACGTATTTTGTGAAAGATATTCCTTTATCAATTTAATAATTTGATCCTCTAATGGGGTCATTAGGTAAAAAGAATGTGATCCTCGAATAATACTTTCTTTGCGAATAGCATTATTGTTAGAATAACTGAAAATTATTTGATAACATATATAATAATAACATAGGGATTTATAATATAGTGTATACCATTTAAAACGAAACAGGCTAAATATCTGATGTCACTTTTATTTTATTTTCAAATCCCTCGTACACGTAATTCGATTGTGTAAGTGTTTGAAACATTTCCAGCACTAACTTGACCCTCTAGGAGGGGTGGGACCAACCCTTACCATTCCAAATCGAACAGGGGTCGAATGATACCTGTTTTAAAAGAGCGTTCAATATAACTTACTTCATCTTAAATTGTAACAAAAAACACTTATAACCGCATCCATCAAAAGAGGCCGAAAACTCGTGTCGGTCATAAATCATGTTTATATGAATCTGTCACTTAGGTCCTCAAAATGTGATTATTTAAGCCTTGCTTTTAATGTCTTTCCGGTGCCTTATTTATGGGTTCATCCTCGGGTTCAGGAATCTCGTGATGCTTCCTGATTGTAATTAATTCAGTAGGACCAACGCCCAAAAAAAAGAAGAAGGAATTTTGCTTGGGAGGTGCCCGATAATTTATTTGTTTATTATGGACTGTCAACTTTTCAATATTCCAATTTAAGTGACCCAAATGCAAAATTTCTTTGAATTTTAATTATTTCCATTCATTACTGAGAGATATCTTTAAATGTAGTAGATTTTATTTCAAAAAGAATATTTGATTTACCTACCTAATTTAAACTTTTTCATTACATTATTACTTAAGGACTTATCTTACTTATTTCATTCAACTCTCGTCGAGTTGTTGTTTGTTATCAACTATCTGTTTCCTCTGGCCTTAACAATTTACACATATTTAATGCAAATATATATTACAAACTTTTTTAATGGTCTTGCAAAGTTTTCCAGAGATTGTCAGAAAGTTTTTCAATATTTTCTCAAGTTGTATAGTCGTTTCAAAGTTGCTTTAATAGCCGGCTTGTGAAAATTCATACATACTTTGTAAAGATGTTTAATAATTGAAAAGTGCACTTGCATATAAAAACTGAGTAAAACATCGACAATTCAAAATACATTTTTATTTTCCAAAAACTTTTACTAAAATAATACCTAATAGTGATATTTACAACTTAAAATGAACAGTCTTAAAACTATGGTACTAGATTGTCAGACATTATCATGACGCACACATTCTTTCGTGTCTTTAGATTTTCTAAAGCCAATTGCAATTTCGCACACCCATGAGATCACACAAATTACATTACAACCTGTCAACAGGTGACACACCATCTCTGTACTACCCGTCAGAGTTTTTACTACACCTAAAATAAATTTTCATTTAGTGGCAATTCTCCAGAATTGCTAAGTTGAAACTCACCCATCAAAGGACCAACAATGAGACTTGTCACACCTGTTACTACCATATAGAGAGAGAAAGCTGTCGCAAAGCCATCTGGATATTCTTCGGCAATTACGAGTGGCGGAGGAGTCTGGATGAAGGAACGTGAAAATCCAAGAACTACTAGAGTTGATATTTTTGCTAAGTGTTCTTTGCAAAGTAAAAATGCTAAAATAAAATAGTTTGATTATGCAACTGTCTCACCATAAATTTAACCAAAATAAGGAGGAAGATATCAGGAATACCAGCTCAAACAAAACACTTACCAACTCTGACAAGTGTGGAAAAAATCGTTCCTCCTAGTATCCAATACCGACTTTTAATATGAGTACAACTCATCACCACAGAAAGCAGTGTCCTTGACACCAGATCAGATCCAAAAAACAATGACATGGTAAGAGCTATTTCTGATTGGTTGAATCCCAAGTCAGTTAGAACCACCGGCATAATTGTGATAAAAAATATGTCGGAAGTGGAGCTAAGCGATATCCCGATGGTGATGTTGAGGTATTTGGGAACCGTCAAGAGGGACATATCCATCGAAGATTTTACAGAAACCCATATAGATTCTTTCTCGTCTTCTACTTCTAGTTTTTCATCGTTATTATTGTCCAATTTCCGTTTGTCTCTGTTCATGCTGACTACTGAGGCAGCTCTGTCAGCTATTTGTAGAATCTTGAAATCTCCTTGGATAGATGCCTTTCTGAGACTGTGGCGTTTCTTCAACAATGGTTCAACTGATACGTTAATGACTAGGTCGGTGGTGGATTTGCTTTTTATGGAAACTAGAAAAAAAAAGGAGGTTTATAATAATTGTATAATCTAATAAGGATTGTTACAGTTTCAAAAATATTTATTCAATTTAAGTTTAACTAAGGCATCTGGTTTTGTAACATTTGAAATATTTATCGTTCTTAATTATTTCTATATATTTTGGATTCATTTAAAAGTACTATTTCGTACACCTAGCGGAATCTATGATTCTTCAGACTAGTTTTCCTAACCTAATATCATTGAATCGAGAATTCCATTATTTCCGAGAAACCTGTAGCACTGTCATTTTTATGATTTCGACAAGCTTGACAGACCAAGAAAGAAAAGGACAGAACCATTTGGGTACTTTTGACTTGGTCTTTTCTCTTATGTTTTGGGACCGAAAAGGTCGTCCAGCCAGATTTTTAAAATCTTAAAAATCCTAAGGATTTTCATAACTCCCGCTTTTACCTTGAATAGGTAAAACTTTGACAAAAAATAGAAATTTTGGTTTATGGTTTATTCCTTTATAAAAATGGACTCCGACAAAATACAGTAAATTCAGTAGGAAATAAAATTATCTATGTACCACGCGAATTATCAGGTCTTAATACCCACAGGCAATTGGTGTCCCTCGGGCCGAAGGCCCTCGGGACACCAACTTTGCCCTGGGGTATTAACACCCTCATAATTCCCTTGATACATAAATAACTATTTCTCTCTAATGAATGACTCCTTATATTTCTTCAATTCATTCAGGCAACTTTGGACAAAATGGAAAATCCGCGCCTGCACTTTTGAGTGAAAATTGACGAATTTGAGACCATGCTGTCCAGACCATCTGGGTCTCCTTTTCAAGGAATGTTGGTGTCCTGTAAGAAGTTGATCCCCAACCATTATTTGATTGTCTCCAGCCAGTTTGGTACTTCCAGATCTCAAGTTTGTGAAAACCTCCGAGACTTTACAAGATTCCGTCCAGGCTTGTATAATTATTTACTTATGGGTCCCGTAACTGTGCCATATTAATTACCGTGACTTATTATTATCTTTTTTTCTATCGCCCCCTATCGATTAGCTTTATTAGCTAATTAATATCTTTATAAATATTAATTACCGTTAATTATTATTACCTTTTTCCTATTGCCCCTTATCGTTTAGCTTCATTAGCTAATTAATATCTTTGCGAAATCAATTACCGACTCGTTTAACGTATAGTAGTATTTGGCTAGTATAGCTAACTACTGTTTAAATATAATTATTAATTTAATTAATTAATCATTATCATAATCAGATATTTGCCTTCATTAACGTTTTCTTTATCATTATCTAGTATTCTAGTATGTAATAATTATGGGTTATTATAATTATTACAAATGTATTTCTTTCATATCGCAGTACCGATAGATATAATATATAGTGGATTCATTAACCTTTAGAGGTTAATTTAATCTTTAATTTCTAATCAATAAGGTGGTAGTTCTACAAGGTAAACCAATGTAAAATCTTTAGGTAGTTGAAGTTAAGTTATATATTTTGAATTTCAATTACAGGTAAGACGGTAGAGCTCTCCCCGATATCCTTAATTTCAGGTTTTTGATATTTATAACTCCCTAGGGATTATTTATTACCTTTCTGCATTTATAAATTTGTTTTTATTTGATTTGATTGACTTTGAGTCAAAAATTAAAGGTTAATGGTATTATGACTTCCGCATTTATACTTAGTTAAATTTCATCGTGGGTATTTATTTAATTGTTTTTAAATTTAAATCCTCTAATAGACTTATTTAGATTAAGTTTTGCTTTTGGAAAGCTGCTTATTTTTTTTTTTCAAATTGGATACTGAACAATATTCTTCTTTGAACAATTGAACAAATTTTTAATGAACAACAAGTTTGCCATCTTGTCAGAAATTTTTAATGAACAACCAGTTCGCCATTTTGTCAACAAATTTTAAAAGAACAAGAGTTCGACCTTTGGTTAATAAATTATTGTTTTTAGAATTCCAAAACTTGTGTTTTTATTGAATGGGTTAAATGTCAGATAGCTATTGGATTTTGGATTTATTTTACCTTTTCAGATTCTTAAATTTATCTTTTTAAATACTAGCTAACTATTTGAATAGTGTCTAGTTTGGCTATTCTTTTATAATAAAAATAATTTTATATAAACTAGTGGCGCCCTCTCTCTACTGTACCAACATCAAGGACCATCCCAAGCTAAACAACCACTGAGCATGGTCGAGCACAGATTATGAGAATTCTTTTGTATGGACAAAAGAGTGTTACAGTTTCCAAACAAAGAAGCAATAATGTGCTCGGGTTAAGACTTTGGATTCATTTTTGTCTTCTTCCTGAGTACTCCACTACATGATACAAGAAAGTCAAGAACCACCTCTGATTCTACTTTTACTACTTCAAATTATTTCATGCTGATTTCACGTTCACTTTTGAATCGACTTCACTTTTGAGAAGCAGTTTTAACGATCGAAGATACATTGGGTCATACCAAGACAATTTGATCGATGCGGTCACCCCTAGAAGAGATACCTACTGAAAGATTGATGGAAACGTTTTGTCCGACATCCTTAAAACTTAGGTTATCATCAGCAGAAAATTTCTTGTTTGAAAATTTGCTTGAGTTGCAGAAGCATTGAATTTTTCTTGTTAAGGCCTCAGTTGGTAGTAATGGTGTCAAAATCACTGTTGATAAAGTGAATCTGTTTTCGCGCCAGGGGTGTGGAAGTGAATGCAGTAAGCGATTTGTCAGAAGAACCATCAAGCTACTATCTTCCGCAAAGCTGTATATGGGGTTTCTTGTCACATTTAATAGATTATTTATAAAAATGAGAACCAGTGCTGGGGACAGAATTGAGCCTTGGGAAACACCGGCATTTATAGGGAATTTATTAGAAGACACACCATCGACCACAATATGCAGTGACGTGCCTCTCAAAAATTCCCCAGCCAATGGCAAAATTCGTTTGGAAGACTATACGATGGAAGTTTGCTGAGAAGACCTTTGTGATCAAAACCCTTAGAGATGTCCAATCAATCCAATGCTACAATTCTAAATTTTCCATGTTTTTTGAGAGTCGAGCTGACGTATGCCAGCAGATCCCCACTGCTATTCTTTTAGAACGACACATGTACTGTTTGTCAGCAACTAAACCAGCTTCAGGTTGACTGCCTTTTCCATTACTTCCGAAAGTACGTATATAAGTGAGATGGGACGATAAGAAAGAGTTTTCTTGCTCTTTTTCGGGATAGACTGCACTCTAGCACAATTCCAGATAGCACACGCCTCGACTGTGAGAGAGTGGAAACAGTTTGCAAAGAACTGAAGCCAATTCTTGTGCGCAAGTTTTGAAGACAATAAGTGGATTTTGTTGGGACCACAAGATTTTCCAGTGTCAAGTTCGAGAAGAATATTCCTGGTAATTTAAGGTCTAAATGCAACGTTGTCCATGTAAGAACCGATGTGTGGCAGTACCTACGTCGTGAAGTTTGCTGCAAATTGTTTGGCAAATAGATTTGCTTTTTCGTTCGAAGATACTACAATGGAATTATTGTCCTTAACTAGAGGTGCAAAGGAAGAATTTGTGATTTTTTTTCCTATGTTCTTGGCAAAGGATCAAAAGGATCTTGATCCAAAAAGTCGATAACGCACTTGTTGATTGTGTAACTCCTTAGCCTCATTGGTTATAGGTACGGTTGCAATCATTTATAAGGACGATCAAGTTTGTTCGCATTGGTTTCTACGTCATCATCCAACCTGTCACCTAACAATCTAAATATTTTCTTTTGCTCTATAACTGGAGTTCTTCCGTCTCAGCTCGACTCCGGGGTTAATCTCCTAGATTATTTGACAGATAAGATTGTATCAAATTTCTTTATCTTGGCACAGTCGATGTTCCCTAAGGGTCAAATTATGGACCAACTGGTAAGTGTCTGGTTGTTACCTAGCAGGTACATTCTATTCTCTAGTGCATAGAAAGTACCTGCTAGGTAACAACCAGACGTTTACCAGTCAGTCCATAATTTGGCCCTAAATCAAAGAAACTTATTAAATTATTACTCTCTCTTAACGATAGGGGTTTTCGTGCACTTCGATCAAACTTACTACTTAAGTAGAGTCAAGTTGTGGAAGCTGGTTTATTAACAATGTGCCAACCATTCTAAATAAAAATCAAGCTCAAAAAAACTTATAAAATACCCTAATATTCTACTAAATGTTGACCTAATTTATGGAAAAATTGGAAGCATGATGGCTCATATTAGAGACATTAAGTGAAAATTTAGTGCTACAATCCAGCTTTAATGTTGCTTGCTAAAGCTTGCACAACTAAAGATATCACAGATAGGGAGATTTTCCTACAAGATTATAACTTGGCGGGATGCGATTCTACCTCTAGACACACAGGCGGAGTATTATTTTATGTGAGAATAAGCAAAACATTTGTTTTGGAATCCAATTATTGGTGTGGGGTAATTTTGATGAATTTTCATGGGGTTGAAGTGAGAGTTGGAGTGTTAAATCACTCTCCAAATGCCAATCATTCAGTTTTCATTGAAAACTTTGAAAAAGTCTGTGAGGAAATCTTTTGTGATAATAAAAAGTGTGTATTAGTGGGTGATTTTAATTCAAATCTTTCCAAGGGTGATGATTTCTGGGATTAACACAGAGTGTAGCAGATTCTACAAGATATACTGATTCTTCTCCACATTGATAGATTATATTCAATCAAATTTTGATGTAGTATCTAAAGTAAGTACACCATATTACCATATCCATGTGCGGTTTTGAAAAGGATAAAGCCTATACACTTTTACTTAACAAAAGTATTCGATCCAATAGTTACTGAGATATAGTAGTTCAAAAATTCAAGTAATTTCTCAGATTATCAAAAATAGCATATATAGAAAAGTAGGTTTTTGCCCTATAACTTTGGAAAACACAAACTTTGACTATGAGTGCAGCAAAGATCGTCGATATCGTTCTACTGCTTTGGCGCTTTGGTAACTTATGCCAAC